GATTTCTGGGGCTAGATGATAGCAAGTGATCTGGTTCCATGGATATTCTTTACTGCTGAGTATGAAAAATAAATCTCTTGCTGGTTTGATTGACTGGGCTGTTTCTTCTTTATCATTCTGCTTTCTCTGCAGCATCATATGGAAATGCAAATGGCTTGGAGGCTCTCCACACCTTCTTTGTCATCTTTTGCTTCATGTGAGGTGGTTTGTATGCTGCAGCCAGCCCCTAAGGCTGACCTATTCCATCCCCTCAACTATTCAGACATTTTTGGAAGGGAGTGGACTGTTGTTCAGTTTTTTCCTTACAAGTTGCCCTTGCTGTAGCCTGGCAGAGGAGAGGATCCAAGTGCTGGCTTCTTGCAGAGCCCTGCCTGTACCTGTCAGTTGTGTTTGGGCTGTTTGTGCTTGGAGAGGGACTGTCCCAGCCTGCACACTGCCACGTGCAGTTGGACATTGCTTTCCAGTGCTGAAGGACAGCACAGAAATGGAAAGTTACAGGGATATTTGTTGTGCACAACTTAGAGCATTCTCTACCTCTGGACCCACTAGTTTAACACCTTTTTCTGTTCTCAAACACAACAGTACTGATGCTTTTATACTTTTTAAGCATGACTTTAAAACTATGTGAGTTTTCCATGGAGGGCTTCTGCTCTTCACAGAATGCAGGCTGAGCTCTGCTCTGCACAGCCACTCTGAACCTGCAATTCTGCAGTCAGTTGGACCAGCCCCAGCAGAGCTGTGGTGTTCCATTTGTGTAATTAATATAGCTCCTAAAAGATGACTGCATATCTAAATGATAGACCTTTAATGGCTCCAGGGAGCTCTCATGGCTCATCCTTAGAAGCAACTCTTTAGATTCCAAAATAGATGCAACACTGAAGCCTTTCTTGTCACCACGGGGTGACCTTCTCATAAAAGGCTCTTTTCCACCACAGTTGTGATCTCACTCTCTGTCAAATGTTCATATTTTAGCCTAACCCTATAAAATTAGGAAGTTAAATGCTTTTTGGCATGGACACATTTGGTGCGGTGTCATCTTTCAGCAGCATCTGCTTCTGCAAATAGCAGGGATCGATTTTGGTCTTTGGCTGCCTGTTATCAAAATTTTAAAGATATAGTGGTGTGACTCTTGTGTTGAATTAATAGCAGGTCATCTTTGGAAAGATGACACTGCTGCTAAGTGCTAAGATTGACGAAAAGAAGTTCAGTTGTGCTGGGATGAGAATTGATTTGGTGTAATGTCTTTCTGTCTCCAGGAACGTTTCTGTCCATCTTGCTGCATCCACACCCCTACAGAGATCATAGCAGCAACTAAAATTTCAGATATCTTAGATCTGCATCACAGCTATTTCTCCTTTTATATTGCCATCTCTTTTTCCCCCCATTTTTTGTCAGTTTGCAATCTCTGCTTCATATCAGTTAAAAAACAAAGCAGCACTAAGACGCAGTGTAATGTGTTGATGTGTGGAAATGTACTAAAACTGATGACTAAATGTACTTAAATTGGTGACTAAATGTATTTAAATTGGTGACTAGATGTTGCTTGTGTTTGCAAGGCCTAAGGTGCTGCAGGGTGAGAGGTGTCTGATGGTGGGTGTGAAGAGCATGTGCCACAGAAGCACTTGGGTGGGCAGGGAGCTCTGGTGCTCCTCAGGCTGATTCCCTGTGTGCCATTGTCCCTGGAATGGGACAAGTGCAAAGTCAGATCTGGTTGTTCCAGGCCTTGCAAAGTCACTCCAGTCCCATTCTGTTGCACAACCATCCTTGCTGTGAAACTTCCTTCCTTTTGTTCAGCTCAGCCCACTTACCCTTTGCAGCACTTCATTTCCCCTTATCCTCTCACAAGGAAATCTCACAGAAAGTTCATTGCCCTGCACTTCAGGAGAGCAGATTTTGGCCTCTTCGGGAATAAGCTTGGTGGAGTATCGTGGAATAAAGTCATGGAGGGAAAAGGGCCCAAAAAGCTGGTTCAAATATCCAAGGCTAACTTCCTCCAAGCTCAGTAGCAATGCATCCTGACAGTGGGAAAGTCAGGCAAAAATGCCATGAGGACTGCATGGATGAGCAAGGATCTCCTGGACAAACTCAGCCACAAAAAGGAAGCCTACAGAGGGGAAAAACAAGGACAGGTAGCATGGGGGAAATTCACAAAGATTGTCCAAGCATCCAGGGATCAGGTTAGGAAAGCTGAAACCCTGTTGGAATGTATGGCCAGGGACATCAAGGGCAGCAAGAAAATCTTCAATAGGTCCATAATTTTCCCTGTTCTTCCTTCTGTGACTGACAGCCCTGAGCTGTGTGGTGCAGGTGGCATGCTGGATTAAGGGCTGCCCTCAGTGGGACCTGGGCACACGGGAGAGGTGGGACTCTGCAAATCTCTTCTGCCCAGTGCAAGTGCTGCAGTTCTGGTAAAACACAAGATGTGAGGAAATCAGCATGGTTATTTTAACTGACACCCTGAATTAAGCTCTGTTTTGAGTGAACAGTTTTTTAGGAAGTAAATAGACAAGAACTGAATAAGCCAATGTCACTGGAGTGAAACATTTGCTTTCACAGTCTCTTCTGCTGCAAACAGTGATCTTCAAAACAGAATACAAACATGATTTAGATTTTCTCTTTTTCTCCCCCTAGGAAGTCTTAATTGTTGAGACCCAGGCTGGCTGTCAGTGAGCTGTGTATAGATTAGCCTGACTAGTTATGAATTCCTCTCTTTCTACAAAATTAGTTGGTGTTAAACATTGCCATGATTGTCCATAATAACTTACCTCCTGCTTCAAGCAGGCTGAGCTGCAGCAGGGTACAAGGGGTGTGTTTACTTCATTCTAAATAAATGTTTTATCACTCAGCAGTAATTGGATTGTGATTGTATTTCAGTAATTATTCCCAACAGCAAAGCTGTTCTCCACTTTGCAGACGTGTTCTCTGCCTGACCTTCACGCTGCTGGTCTGAAGGTGTCTTTCTTGATCTAATTATGTATGATGAGTTCTTTAGTTTTGTTTTTTAAAAAAAGGGGAACTACTGCCAGGGGTATAATAATTTGTCTTTGCTCCAGTTGTCATGGTGCAAAAGTATCAGCACTTCAGTTCATGCTTGAGCTTTTAGCTGGCTCTGGAGAGGCAGAACGATGCAGGGCTTTTTCAAAAAGCATCCTGACATTTAGGGCTGTGCAGAACCACACTTCTCTCAGTATCACAACCCAAATATCCTGCCAAGATTTCTCATACTTTATAGAAATTTTTTCTATAGACAAATAATTTCCTAGTGTATCTTGTAGCTGACCAAGGACTTCATCCACTTCTCTGAGGTTCAGACAGAGTCTGCCAGGGAAGTTCTGGATCACTGGGTGGCAATTTTATATGCAAGAATAATATTCTGTGATTAAATCTTAATGAGTTTCCAGAGCAGCTAATATTTTTTCAAGAGGAAAGCGCTGCTGAATGTTCTCAGAGAGGACTGGTTTGTGACAGCCTGCCTTCTGTACAGACTCTTGTGGGAGAGTCTCTGCATTACACAGACCTTGCCAACCCATCACAGGACATCCCCTGTGTGCCTGTTTGAAGCTCTAAACTCTTGGTTGGTTGCCTGCCTGACAGATTATATTTATTTCAAACGTATGGCATTCAGCACCGAACTTATTTCTGCACTCCAGACTTTAGGCTGTTCTGATGCCATTTTCTGCTAACTCCAGCCCTGATCCTGCTTTCTGAAAACTGTGGTTTCTGCATCACCTAAAACATATGTTTCAAGTATGAGTAACTTATTCTGGAGAACCTTGTGTTACAGAACAGAAGCATTCAGTGGGTTACAGTGCTTGCTTCCGTGCTGCTCACAGCTTTTGGGGATTTCAGGAGCAGGGCAGTGGCACTGAGCTGTGAGCAGCCTGCAGCTCTCATGGTCCTGTGCTGCAGCCCTGTTAAAGCACATTTGCTGCCTCTTACTTTGGACTGAGGCTCTTCAGGAATTAGCTGTGCTGAAGCTCAGGACAGTCCAGTTTAGGTGTGCACAGCTGGGCAGCATCTGGTGCTGGACTGGTTGCACGAATGAAGAAATCTTCCCTTGATGATGCTAGAAGCCTTGTAACCTTGACTTGCTGTGAAGTTAAATTTCATGTTTTCTTCCTGTTTTGCCTTTTTTTTGTTGCTGTCTGTGTTGGGAATTAGCATTTCCATCCCCTCACATTTCATCACTTCCTTCCTTACTGTGCTGTCATCACCCTACAAATGAAGCCACCCTCCCATTTCTTATATTACCCCGTTTCTTAATTACAGCCTAGAATTGAATGGTTCATCTGTATATCTGGCTTGTTTGAGTCCAAGTCTAAGCATTTCTTCCACTAAGAAAGTTGGTTCAGAAGAGCTAATTTACAAAAATAAAAACTAGGGCAGTAAACTTGATCACCTACTGACTATTTATAAAAAGAAAAAAAACCCAAATTTTGAAAGCTAAATAAGCCTTTCCACCCAAACAATATAGTAAAGTTGACTGCTTCTACCCAAGGCAAATTTTGTGGTATTTATAAGGTGTTTGTGGTCTTTGAAAGCCTCATTTTTGTCCTGTTCACAAATGTAAAGGTGAGTTGCTTGTAAAGCAGCAGTGTTAATTTTGAAGTTTGCTCCTTTAGCAGTGCATCCTGGCTGGGATGGAGGAGCCCAGCCTGTCTGGCCAGCAGCTGCTCCGTTCTGGCATTCAGGGCATGGGCTTGGTTACCTGGAGTGCTCTGGCAGGGATGGATTGCAGGTCTAGAGGCCAAGGCCTCCAGCACTGTAATCATGTCTGTGCTGGGATTTCAGCTCTCCTTCTGCACTTTTCTCTCTCTGCCGTCACATTTATGATGGAAAAGCTGCTGAAAAATAGTATTTTAGCAAGTGCTTTAGCAGTGCTGTGTGATTTAGTGTGTGCTAAAAAAAATAAAATCCCTTCTGGGTATGATGTAGGGCTGTATAACCAAAATTGTATTTTTCAAAACAACTATTTTTTTTCTTATTTTTAATACTTCCAGGGAGGGATGAAACAATGCAGCCAGCCAGACCATCATTCCTTGAATACTTTGAACAGAAGGAGAAGGAGAATCAAATCAATAGCTTTGGGAAGAATGTTTCTGGCCAGACAAAGAATTCATCTGATTGGAAAGTACCACAGGATGGAGACTACGAATTTGTAAGTCTATACTTTGAAATTCAATCAGTGTGGCAATCTTTAAGAATTTTAGTCAGCTGCCATGAGATTATTTCTTGTTTTGACAGACTAATGGAAACTTGAGGAGGTTCTAATTGCTAATGCATTTGGATGGGACATTTTGAAAAACTGGTTTTCTTTATGTATTTCTCAGTAATCACAGCCAGTCATTATCTGTAAACGTTCCTTGTTTAAAAGCAAACAAAGGAACAAAAAAGCCTGAGGACATGAAGGTATAAGCTGTCTTGCTTTACTTCCCCATTATGCATTTACAATTAAAAAAAAATAATTCCAGATGGCAGTTGGAAAATGCAAATCCTCAGTGTGTAGTGTTTGACAAAGAACAGTGTTAGAACTATTAAATTTCCTTGTTTTTCTCAAGCTTTGGCACTGGATTTTGTTTTATTATACAAACATCAAGCTTGTCTTCATTTCTCGTTTCAAATCCTTATTTTCATTCTTCCTTCCTAAAGCTGACATGCTCAGAAGTTTCAGGAACTTCTCAGAAGTTCAAAGAAAGACCTGTTGTTAATAAATTTGATTTAAATTTTTTTGTGTGTGTGAGGATGTAAAATTCCATGTTTGATTTCGGAAAGCCAGAAGATACTGGGCCTTGTTCCCTCCTCATTTTTCTGCAGTGATCTTTCACTGTGGGCACTTTCTGCCCTTTCAGTGCCTGCCTGTGGTTCAGGCTGTCACTCTGGCAGTAGCTGGTGATATTCACCCCCCAAATTGTGCAAAGCAAATTCCCTCTGCTGTTCACAACTCGAGGAGATGCCTCCCTTCAAGGCTGGAGTAACAGCTGGAGCTTTTCTTTCTCTTCCTGTAGATTGTATAGATTTACTGCTGTTATTTTGTTGTCTTTGCTCCTGCTTTTCTTATTTTCTTGCTCAGGCTGCAAAAAATAGCTGAGGGGACCTCCTGCATTCCCTCCCTCGTAGCCCTCTGCACTCTTATCTTTGTTATCTTTGGTCACTGCATAAATGTGTTTTGTGCAAAAATAACCCTCAAGCTGCCTGTTTTTCACAGGGCTTGGGCCCAACACACCATTCCAGTCGAGTCAGATACTTCATTTATCTCATTCACCTCGTGCTGTACCTTAATTGAATGATAAACAATTGTTCTTTAATGAGTGGCATTTCCCAGGAGACCAGGGCTGCTTCAGAGGATCTTCAGAGCCTTCTGTAGTCTGCAGGGGATGGCCCAGGGGGAAATTTGCTGTAATTATTTTCCTTTCTCATTGGGTTGATAACAAGTTTAGCGGTGTATTTCCTCTGAGTGGGAGCTGTGGGTGCAGGGAACACCCAGCCAGCACAGGCAGCACAAGCAGAGCTCTCTGCCTTTCCAGCAAGCAGGACCCACAAATATTCTTAGCACATGAAAAGCAGCTCCTGTGACGTGTGTGACCCTGTGTACTGATTTCCATTAGGACTGCAGTATTGCCACGTGCACAGATTCCCACTGTGCTGGAAGCAATAAAAGTGAGCGATAAATTGGCCTTTGGGTCACCTTTGTGAAGGAATTTGTAGGAATTTCACTTCCCAGCTCTGTGTGTTTCTCTAGTTCAGTTGGGTATGAATGTACCAGCCTGCCTTGCATATAAATTTTGGAACAAAGCTGCTTTTCTTCCTGTAGGATGAGAAAATTGCTTGAAAGCAGCTTTAATAAATAACGTGGGTGTTTTTATTGCCCTTATCTGAGGGTTAGTACAAGCTCACGTTGTATAATATAGTCAAAGACTTAAAATCATGGATTTTTCCCATTTGGCTGAAAATTGATTGATTTGATGACTATCTTTGGGTAAAAGTCATGCTTATTAATGATTTATTAATTGAAAGCATCAATGTAATAAGCACTGTGGAATAAGAAAAAAAGGCTTCAATCAGTTGTATCCAGTACCTCTGTACCTGCCTGCAGCTATAATTTCTGCATTGCCAAAGTAGGCAGGTTTGAGCAGCCTTTTTCTACAGTTTGCAGCATTACAAGTAGAGATGAGATCAGTGAGATGCCAGGTAAATCTTTGTTCCTCTGGGCATTAAGAAATGATTGAAATATTATTGCTTTCTGCTACTGCAGACTAGATAAATTTGCCTTCTCTCCTTTTCTGTATTCCCCTCCCTCCTGTGTGACTAGCACCTGGAGTCTCCTGTCTTCCAAAACAAACCAAAAAAAAGCAATATTAAATTAAAAAAGATTTTTACTCTTTTTTTTGCCTGTGGCAAAACCATTTGACCTTTTCTTGACTAACATTGTTGTTCTGAAGCAGGCAAATAAGACACTATTTATATCACAATGGCAATGTCACATTAGATGAGGGTTAGATTGAGTCAACCCCATCCTCTGCAGAGCTGAAAACCCAGAGATCCTCTTCTGAAAGGTGATGAACTCTTAAATTCCTCCTAACTGTGATGCTTGGCAGTGTTCTGGTTGTGGTCAGAGATGGCATTAATCCAGAGTATTTCCAGAAAAGTATTTGCAGCCTTGGATTTCTGAGGTGGAAGTAGTTATTAAATGATTAGTCAGTGCCTGATGCTGTTCATGTTTATCCCCTCTCATGTTTGAGCAAGGATATTTAAGCCCTGTTTGACTGTGAACAATATTTTCAACAACGTTATGATTTATTTAACGTGGGGAGAAAAATACTAATTATGGGCAAAAATTCTTGCTTTTAGGAAGAACATAACAAACTCTAGCAGAGATTGCTGCAGGGGTAGGCTGATAATAGGCAGGCTGCATTGTATGGATAATTCCTAATTGCCATAATCAGATCTCAGAATTTTTGTTGTTGCATTTGGTTTTGCCAGTGAACATTAGTCACATGCTGTTGCACAGACTTAATAATGCTAGAAGATTTGTTTAGACAATGTCCTACATTTTTTCCCTTTAATCCTTCAGTAGTACTGTAACATATAGGGAAATTAGCTGTGTAGTGTTTCCTGCCCTTAGACACAACAAATCCTTTACTTATTCCTATTTTAAAAGCCTTTTAACTTCTCTGAGCACGTCAGTATTCTAATATCACTTGTGGTTAAAGTACAATCACTTGTTTTTATTCTGGCCCTGCTTGAAAGGCCCTCAGTGTTGCCAAACCCATTGTAGCACATATTTGTGGATCAGCCAGTCATGAGTGTTTGGTATTACATCAGTAATCCTTTTATTGAAAGCCTGTTTTGTTAGCAAATTAGCAGGTGCCAGCCTCTCCTGGCTTGTGGCAGCTTTGACAACACTGAAACCTTTTCAATTTTATTCCATGAGTGTGGTTCCACAGGCAAAAATCAGTGGCACTTGGGCCCCAGTATGTCTCCAATTTTGCCATCATGATGTGGCCGTGGGTTTTTTAAAATACCTGTAGTGTTGAGCTTAGGCTTTGCTGTAATTCTAAGTCATTTTTTTTCATTTATCAGTGAATTTTTGCTGTCCTGGGGGCTTGTTTTGGATGTGAAGTCAAGTAGGACATGAACTTCTGACAGAGATTAGGGCGAGAGTGCTGCAGGACATCAAGTCCTGATGGAGTTGGAGCTGTTTGCTCCAAGGCTTTCTTTGATTCCAGCACCCGTGGATCTGCCAGCCATTGCTTGCCTTGTGAGGTGCCTGTTGAGAGCTGGATTGGTGCAGGCCTGTCCTGCTCTGCAGCTCTCCCTGTGCTGCCCTGCAGAGCTGCAGGAGGGAGCTGGGCTGTTGAAGGGAGGCAATGCCATTCCCCTGCAGGAACCCCTGCTTTTCTGCCCTGGCAATCTCCATCCTGCTGGGAAGGAAGATAACAACCAGAATCAAGGCTTATGTATTTTTCCTAAGAAGTGTGCTGCTTCTTTTGGGAAAACCTTGATTTGCTTGCATCTGCAAGGTCTTGGTGAGTCAGACCTGTTCCCATTCCTGCAATTATCGACTACACTCATATGGGCCCATCCTTCTCTCCTTGGCTTAATGGAGAGGATCTGCATTCACAGGTCCTCTCATTGAAGCAGAAACACTCTGGAGCAGAGATTCTGTCCTTAGGAAAATAAAACTAACATATACTGTCACTGTCATATTTTCTGAAAATTCCCTTCGCCAGGATTTCTTCTCCTGGGAAGCTGAGAAGCCTCAGAGAAAAATGAGAACAATAATTATCTGATCTGCTTCTCCTGTGTTTTGCTGCTTTGGAATGTGGTTTGGAGATTGTTTATCCAACATGTGAATTGTTTTTACTTAATGACCAATCATGGTCCAGCTTTGTCAGGACTCTGGAAGGAGTCAGGAGCTTTCATTATCATTCTTGTTAAGCCTCTGTCTGTATCCTTTCTTTATTCTTTAGTATAGTTATAATATAGTATAGAATAGTATAGTGTAGTTATAATGTAGTATAGTATAGTGTAGTTATAGTATAGTTATAATATAGTATAGTTATAATATAGTATGGTTATAATATAGGATAGATATAATATAGGATAGATATAGTATGATATAATATAATATAGTATATAATATAATATAATATAACATAATATAACATAATATAATATAATATAATATAATATAATATAATATAATATAATATAATGCCTTCTAAGAACATGGAGTCAGATTCTCAATTCCTCCTTCATCCAGGGGACCCAGAAAATACCACAGTATACCCTGGAGGATGTCAGGCTTTGCAGAAGTGGAAGCAGTAGACGTGGCCAGTTTGTCACATTTCTGTGGAAGGTGACAGTTTCTGTGGCCTTTGGTCACAGCGCCAGCACCCTGCTGGGAGTGACCCTGTGTTTGTTCCAGCCCTGTGTCCATGCTGGGAGTGCCATTCTCTGGGCTGGCTCAGCGCTCTAGCTCCCTCTGAGCTGTGTCTCCCTGGCTGCTGATGGGAATTCCTTTGGACAGGAGGGATTGCTGTGATTTCCCTGCACTCCAAAGCAGCCTGCATCACTTCCCAGCGCACACTGTCAGCTGTTTCTCTGTTGCTGCTGCTGGGGAGGGATGTCCTGCAAGCAGCAGAGCTGTGGCTTAGG